GCACTAGCAGACGCTCCCTGCGCCCCGCCGGCCGCAACTCTCCGCACTAGCCGCCCGCCACAGCGCTGGCAACAACCGCGCGCAAGCCGCGTCTGCAACCACTGCCAGCCAAGTCGCCTGCAGAGCTACTATTTTCATTTGTCCGCGACAGCGCTCGTGCTTCCGCCTGTGAAAGGCCCTTTCTGTATATTGCCTGCGACGCCGCTGCGATGGCTCCAGCGACGGCCGTTATCGCCGCTGACAAAAGCGGCGGCTGCGACAGCCGCTGACAACGGCTGGTAGCGCGCAGCTGCGGTCGTTGCAGTCCGCGCGGCCTCATCCAGAATGCCGTGCGCGAATCAGGTTCTTGATGTGGTACGTTACCACGCGCGTCGTGGCGAACAGACTCATCAGGTTCGAGTCGCTGATCGAGAGCTTGTTCTTCGTGTGCCAGTACGACTCCCAGAAGCGCTTGTTCTGCGCGTCCGTCATTTGGAAGTAGTTGATCGACGTGCGCTCCGCGAGCTTCTCGATCTTCTTCAGGTAGAAGTCCTTATTGCGCGGCGCGTCGCGCTCTGCGCACTCCTTTACCGCGTAGTCGACGAAGGTGGGAAACATACGCTGCCGCTCCGCGCGCCGCTCGTGGAACAACTCCAGCGCGTCGGCCGCGCGCTGGATGTACCTCTCTGCGTCGTGCGAGCTCATCGAGAGCCGCAACTGCACTTTGTAGATGTTCAGCGCCATCACGATATTCTCGACGAACTGCATGATGCAGTAGCAGTACGAGTCTCTGTTTTGCAGCTTTGACTTGTAGTACTCCGTGATCAAGTTCAAGTCGAGCGCGTCGTCCTCCTGGTGCTCCGCAGGCGTCACGTGCACCGCCAGCAGCCGCAACTCGTTAGGGTCCTCGTGCCGCGCGCCGATGCGCGCGTCGATGTTGAAGTAGATGCTGCACAGCTCGAAGTACATCGTGCGCACGCTCAGCAGAATTTGCTTGTAAATCTCCTCGTTCAGCGCGTGCTTGTGCCGCAGCGACACTTCGTAGCGCGCGAGTTTCAGCTCGTTCAACTGCTTGCTAATCAGCGTCCCCGCGGCCTCCAAGTTGCTCCACAATAGGTCGCGCTTGTCGCGCCACAGCGCGAGCTGCATGCGCCGGCGCTCGTACAGCTCCTTGTTGCTCAAATACTCGGCGTTGTCGTGGTACAGAAACTCGTCGATTTCGACAATGCCCGCCTGCATCAGCAGCAGCGGCTCGATCGACTCGCAGAAGTGCCCAATGATCTTGCACAGGTTCTGCACGACACTCACGCGCGACTGCGCCGGCAACAACGTCCGCGACACAAACGTGCACGCAGCGATCCCGAGCATCACAGCCAAGCAGCGCAGAGTGATGTAGCTCAACGGACTTTCCGCCAAGAACGAGTTTCCGAGCAACAGCGGCGTGTAAGAGCTCGCGCTCGTCGCTGCAATGAACAGCTCTGAAGAGAACAAGTACATCCAGTTGTAAAAGAAGCCGCAAATCGGCAGCACCAAGTACACCGCGAGCTTCGTGAACATGTGCACTTCGTCCGGCTCGCAGTTGTGCCGCGCGATCGACACAATGATCAGCACCACGACGCACGCCGCGCCGACGCCCAGCCCGCGCATCACCGCGCGCTGGTACGTCGAGCCCACGTTCGAGTCGAGCATCGGCACCGCCGTGCCGACCACCCAACGCCCGTTGTTCCCGAACACCCGCTCGTTGACGCGCGGCACGCACGCGATCCAGCCGCAGCACAACGTCAGCACTGTCAGCTGAAGGCCGTAGCGACAGTCTGCCAGTCGCTTCACGCATTTGAGATCCGCAAACCAGGCCGCGGGTGACAGCATCGCGCTCCCAGCCCTCCGCCGCCGCCGCGCCTACACTCGCGCGCGAAGCGCCTGCGCGTCGCGATCCGCTCGGCGCAGCATGTCGCCACTTAATCAAAATAAAAATATCGCAAAAGTGTCGCGCCGCCGCCGCGCCGCCGCCGGTTACGCGCACTTGTACCGGACGCCGCACACGTGACTAAATATCTGCTTCGTCTCCGCGTCTGCATCTAGCAGCGCAAAGGTGCCGACGCAGTACCCGCGGTACTGCGGCGGACTCTTGCACAAATTTCCGACCAAAATCCAGTTTTCCGGACACGGCTGCCGATAACTCGGGTAGCCGCGCTCGCACGCAAACTTCTTGCAGTGGTAGCGCAGCTGCTCCTGCGGTTGCGTCTTCGCGTACGATTCGTACTCTTGCGACGCGTCCGCAAACGCGTAGCACCGCGTGCGGCCCTCTGCAAACCCTAGCGCGCAGCTCTCCAAGTCGCGCTCGCAGTAGTCCACCTGTGCGCGCGTCTCGCTGCTGAATCGCGCTACCTCGGCCTTCGCGATCTCGAGCTGCTCCGGCGAAGCAGTGATCTGCGAGTCTGTCAAGACTTCCGCCACCAACGCGTCGGGCGACAACCCCTGCTGCCGCAGCTCGTAAAAGTTCTAGTGCGCACCTCTCGCACTTACCCGCGCCGCTTCGCGAATCGCGCTTCCCGCCTGCGCGGCAAGCGCACACACGCAAATACGGAGCATCGCAGCAACTCTCCGCAACGAACCGATCAGCCTGCTGCGTCCGCAATTAACAATAATTAATTTGCCGCAATGGGTGAGGCGCGCGGAGAGTCCGGCGCGCCGAGCGCTGCCGCGCCCGAACGCCACGCGGAACGCGCGGCGAGTGCCAACCTCTTGCGCAAAGTCGCGACTCTCGCGGACTTGACAGCGCAGCCCGAGAACGCTGCCGTCGAGAGCGAACGCGAAGTCGCGCTGGACCTCGACGAGCTCGACGAATCGAACTCCTTCAGCGACTCAAGTGTCGACTACCGCGACGCAGCGCTGATCGATCCGTGTCAACGTTGCGACAGCGGCGACGAAATGGCTTCCCAAATCGCCATCTCGCCCGCCGACGCGCGCCAGATCATCACCGCGCAGCAGGTGTGCGACGGGTGTTTACTGCAGCCGCTCGGGCTCAACGGCACGTCGCCCGCCGCGGCTGCGCCGATCTACCTCAACATCGTCAACGCGCTTGCGCTCGAGACCGAGCTCGCGCGCGCTACGGCTCTCGTTGCGGTTTACGGCGCGGACTCGATCGAGTTCATCGACCGCGTCCTCAAGAACGGCGACGTCGTCTCCGCCGTTTTGCGCGTGCTCTGCCAGCCCGACGAAACGCAGCGCCAAACGCTCCTCGCAGAACTGCACTCCGCCCTGCCGGAGTCGCTGCTCGAGGAAGTCGTCAGCGCCGTCGCTGCGCACGAGCGCGCCGCTGCCGCGCGCGCGAAGGCTGCCGCGGAAGAAGACTCCGACGAGCTCCCGCCCATCAGCGCGCCCGAGCAGCTGGACTTGCCGCCGGGCGCCACCAAAATCAAAGGCGATAACTACTTTGGACTGCGCCTGCCGGAGGCGCGCTACGCTGCGAAGGACGTTTCTGAGCTGCATCTGGAGTACTCAGTCCAGGCTGCAATCCCGCTCTGGGCGCAGCCGCTGTTTCTAAAGCACGGTGTGGGCTCCTTCAACGTAGTGCAGGCCGCCACGGTCACCGAAGCGCTGCACAGCCCCGACAACATGCTCATCTCCGCTCCTACCGGGTCCGGTAAGACGAATATTGCGTTCTTTGCAATGATTCGCGAGATCCAGAAACACCTCGACGCCGCGCAGTCCGCTCTCGTCTCCAGCGACTTCAAAATCGTATACGTCTCGCCGCTCAAGGCGCTCGTCGCAGAGCAAGTAGCCACCTTCCGCAGGCGCTTCGACACCATACGCGATGCGAGCGGCGGCGGCATCGCCGTGCGCGTTTGCGAAATGTCGGGCGACTCGCAGCTGCGCGAGTTCGAGCTCGCCGGCGTCCACGTGCTAGTCTGCACGCCTGAGAAGTTCAGCAACATGCTCCGCTTCGCCGAGCAACGCGCGTCGATGCAACTCATCAAGCTGCTCATCATCGACGAAATTCACATGCTGCACCAGGCGCGCGGCTGGGTGCTCGAAGAGATCGTCACCAGCTTGCGGCTCCGCGCCGTAGACGTCCGGTTTGTCGGGCTCTCCGCCACCATCCCAAACTGCCACGACATTGCCGACTTTTTGCACCTGTCGCCGACCCTGCTAACGCGCGCTAACAACCCGCGCAAAGGCCTGTTCGTGTTCGACGACAGCTTTCGACCGATTCCTCTCGCCAAGTGCATCTACGCGCTGGAGAGCGGCGACTCGGCCGAGGCACAGGATGCGCTCACCTTCGAATTCGTTGTGCGACAGCTGAAGAACCAAAAGTCCGTGCTCGTGTTCGTCCAGAGCCGCCAGGGCACCGTCAAGGTCGCTCAAAATCTGCTCCGTTCCTTTTCGCAAACCGGCGACCTGACCGCGATCTTCAGCAGCCAGCGTCGCGGCAGCGCGCTAATCCAAAAGCTCAAACAGGCTTCCAAAGAAGCCGCAGACCCCGCGCTCGCGAGTGTCGTCGAGTTCGGCTTCGGCTTCCACCACGGAGGCATGAGCCGCGCAGACCGTGATCTGGTCGAAGCCTTGTTTCGCAACTACCAGATTTGCTGTCTTGTGTGCACGTCGACGCTTGCGTGGGGCGTCAACCTGCCCGCAAGTTGCGTGATCGTGCGCGGCACCACGTTCTACGACTCCACCAAGAACGTGTACGCCGAGATGGAGGAAATCGACTTGCTGCAAATCACCGGCCGCGCCGGCCGCCCACCCTTCGACCAAACAGGTCTCGCGCAGATAATCACTTCAGCAAACTCGTTCCAGCGCGTCGTCCAAACTGTTATCGGCTCCTACGTCATCGAGTCGCAGCTTGCGCAAAAGCTCAAAACCCTCGTGGTCGCACTCGTCTCTTTGAACCTCGCCACTGACTACGCGGCGCTCACCCGCGCCTTCACCTACACCTACTTTTACATACGGCTCCGGAACCAAAGCGCCGCATACCTTTCGTCGCTCGCCTCCTATTTCAAGATCTCCTACTCTGTCGCAGCAGAAAGCGACTCCGACCAAGAGCGACTCACGCTGCTTCACGACATTCTGCGCTCCGCGCTTGCGGACTTGCACAGACGCAACTTTCTGGACTACGACGACGCCACGGACCTCCTCACCAGCAAGCCTCTCGGGCGAGTTGCCACCAGCAAGTACATCGCTCTCGAAACCGCTGAATTTCTCAACGAGCACTTGCACAACGAGTTCTCCTACTGCGCCTTCTTCTGGTTCGTGTGCGGCACGCCCGAAACCAGCGCCTTCAAGCCGAACGCAGCGGAGCTCGATATGCTCGCGAACGTTGCGGCGCTCTGCCCAATTCCCGTCGACAGCAACGACAAGAGTTCCGCCTACAAAGTCGCGCTCCTCCTGCAGTGCTACATCGCGCGCTGCCGCATCCACCACTCCGAGCTCGAGGCGCAGAGCAAATCGATCGCCGTGCTCGCGCTCATGATTTGCGACAGCATCGCTAGCCTCGCAGAAATACGCGGCTACTGCTCAACGTACGCTCTCGCGCTCTCTCTGAAAGGCGAAATCGAGTCGCGCTGCTGGAGCCAGCTCTCCGTCTTGGCTCCTTTCTGCTTTGTCGACAGCGCGAAGCTCAGCTACCTTCAGAACCTCGAGCAGCTTTGTGGAAACGACCTCGATAAGTTGCGCGAGTCGATCGAGCAGAACACAACCGTCAGTCGCGAACTGTGTCTCGAGTTTTTGTCCGCGCTGAACCGATACCCCACAATTCGAATCGACGTAGAGGCCGTCACGCCGCTCTCGGGATACTTAGTTGTACTTTTCTCCCTCACCGTCGACCGCGCGGAGTGGCGCTTTCCAAGCGCTCTTCGCCTCGCGGTGTACGCCGAGAGCTTGATCTCCGGCGAGCTGCTAACGCCCTGTTTCACCCGCGTGCGCGTCCGCAGCTCTGCGGACACGCCACGCCTGCTGCTGCCAATCAAAGTGCGCGCCGCAGCCGGAACAATCCACTGTTGCAACATTGTTGCCGTCTGCGAAAACGTTAAGGGTCCTAAAGCGTCCCTCTTATTCGACTTCCGCGACGTCGCACTGCAGCCATCTGCCGCGCCGGCCGCGCCGCGCGAGCGCTGCGCGGCTGTTGGCAACGATACTCTGCGCGCCCGCCTCTCGAACTCCTGCGTAGGGCTCTTCACCGAGCGCGAGCTAGAAACTTCGCTGAGCGAGTCTGACGCGCTATTACCGATCCTCGAGTCGCGCGAAAGCTGCTTCGTCAATGTTTCGAGCGGCTCGCAACTCTGCACAGCGGTGAAATGCGCGCTCGCAGAGGCGCACGCCCGATCGCGAGATTTTACGGCGGCACTATTGGTGCCCAGTGAAGAAGACGCTACAGTTTTGCTCGCGACTTTGAAGCACGCGACGCTCGCCGGCGAAACTCTGCGGTGTGACGCAGCCAGGACTGACACTGTTGAGACGCTGTACGTCGCGGCTTGCACTCAGGTTTTGGTGGTCCCGAGTTCCCGCTCCAAGCAGCTCTTGCACAGCTCTTTTGCTGCGAACTTGAAGCGGATTTCGTTGCTAGCGTACGTCGAACTTTCGTGCTCAACGAACTTCAGCTCTGCGGAGCTGTTGATACAGCTCTTCCGACAGCAGCAAAACGTCGCGAAGTCGCGCCTGCTGTTTCTGCTAGGGCCCTTCACAACGCACGACGCACTTTCCTCTTGGCTCTCTTTGCGGTGCTACTCTCAGGCGGCAAGCGGCTCCGTAGCGCCGAAGCCGCAGCCAACGCGCTTCCCAATCGCAGCAAACGCTCGCTGCACTTTCGACCCGCCTCGCAATACCGACGTGTTGCGCTGTTTTGCAGACGCGCTCGCTAAGTACAAAAAGCCTGCTTTTGTGTTTTGCGACCCAGAAGTGCACCGCAGCATCCTCGCTGACGCGCCGCTGCTTTTGCGCAACATCGAACAAAAGTCGTCGTCGCGGCAATGCTTGCAGTCCGACGTCGAGCAACGCTCTGGCACGCCAGACCGCAAACCAGCGAAGAATCAGGCGGAAAGCGGCGCTCACGGCTGCGCATCGCCAGCACCCTCTTCCGAGTGGGAGTGCAGCGACAACGCTGCCCGGCTAACCAGTCGCTGCCACGTCTTGGCTGACGTCCTGTACGCGGGCGCGGCTGCGGACGCAGAGCACTACTTCGTTTTCGTTGCGACGCCACTCGATGGTTTCGTGCAGTCCAGCATCTTTGTGCTGAAGCACAGTCTGGAACTACTGCTCGCTGACCACTCCGCAGCAACGGTCACGCTCGTGGCTTATGCAGATGTACTCAACTTGCTAGATGCACTTTTGTACAAACACAAGCCGCTGCTCAGCGCCAACCGGCACGAGTGGCAAGAGACGCTCAGAGCCGCGCTAGCACTGCAGCGAATCAGCAATGCTCAAGACCTGCTCGACTTCGCGACGCAGTGCTTTTTCACCTCGTGCCTCACACTACACGAGCACGCGTTCCGGCTGCAACTGAAGTTTGCGGGCGACGGAGACACGGAAGAGTTCCTGGGCGCAGCTCTATCCGGGCTCGTCGAGGACACGATAGAAGCTCTCTCGCGCAGCGACATGGCGCTCACGGACGAAGACTACACAGACATCAAACTTACGGCTCCGAGTGACGTGTTTTTGTCGATGCTGCCCGCCGCTGACTACGCCGACGCTGTGAGCGTGCTGTACACCACATCCGTGCGCGAAATTCTTTTTATTCTGCTGCGCTTGCGTTCTTTCCACGCGTTAGTCGAATCCAATGCTGCGCTCAACGAGGCCTTGCACTGCTACGCAAACGCCGTGGGCGGCGAGGACTGGCTGCAATTTTACGATCCGGCCTTCGAGGTGCTGATTCCCCGCTTCGAAATCGAAGCGCAAACCAACTGGATCCGCGCTCTCTGTCTGGTGTGCGCCGCGTTCTTCGCGCGACTGCCTTTTCCCGTCGCGATGGAACAGTGTGTGCTGCGCTGCGCGACCGCACTCCGAGCGGTCGCGCTTCTCGTCTTTGACGCATTCAGCGCCAAAGCAACCACCGAATGTTTGGCGCACTTTACGCAACTCATCCGCATGCTGTCCAACCCGGCCGGCTTAGACAGCAGCCTGTTCGTGTGGACCGAGGTGCCAGGCTTCGACCTGCGCTGTGCGCAGCGCCTGCATGCACTCGACCCGCAGCTAGACCTCACTGCGTTATCAGAATGTCCCGAGGAAGAGCAGCTGCGCATTTTCGAGCAAACTGGCGTCGGCGAAGCGCAGCAGGCCGCGCTCGAGAGGCACTTCGAAGAGCTGCCTAACTACGACGTTGCGGCGAGCGTCGAGCTCGCGGACGTAGAAGCGTCCGCGAAGTGCTTCACGTTAAACGTCACAATCACCAACGCGAGCGAGGCAAATGAAGAAAAAAAGTTGACTCAGAAAAACATGTGGGTGTTACTCGCCGCTGTCAACGGCGTTGTGCTTTTTTCGCACAGACTAGCTATCGCAGAACTGCCTTGCAAGCGCAAGTTCAAGCTTCCGCTAGAGTACTCCGGCAGCAGAAAAGGAAGGCTGCTGCTCAGCTCGCTGTTCTACCACAGCGCGGACCGCGAAACGGAGTTTTCCTTATGAAATCGCGACCTACTTGCGCAGGCGCGGCCTTCCGCGCGGCTTGTTCAGCGAGAGAAAAATGGCAACCACGACGCCCAGTTCTTCGCTGTCTATGTCCGGCAGTTCTTCGACTTGCAGGTTGTACGCGCCCGGAAAAGTTTCGGCAACGATCTTCGCCGCGGCAAACGCCACTGTGTAACAGTGGTAGGGCATGAGGGCGTCGCTGGAGCGCGCCGCTGCGTGGCCCGAACTTGGCGCAAGCGCTGACCCCGCCGAATCGGGCAGTTGTGCAGCGTCAGCCTCGTCCAGCTGACTCGCGCAGGGTGCACTATGGAGTTGTTTCAAAGAGCCATGCGCTCCAGAGACGATCTCGCGGCTTTGCGCGTGCTCCATGTGCCAGACGGCGTTAGCATTATCGAAGTTATTCGAGCATAGCAAGTAGTAAGCTTCGTCTAACATCTTTAATGCCTAAATAATAAACATGCGCCAGCAGGAAGGCGGGCCTACGCACGTATCGAGATTTTCTCCGAGCAGATATATGTCATTAAAATAACTGTACCTACGCTCGCGCAGCCATGGAAACGGGAGCTTCGTTTCGCAGTCACCGCGGCATCTATAGCACAGGGCACATCGTCTCGAATGCCGCCATCGCTGCACAGCAGCGCGACGCAGACTCTGCGCCCGAGGCAGAATCCGTCGCGCCCGCTGCGCCCAGCAAGCTCACGAGCTACTACGAGCGGTTGCGGCATGCGCTGAACACTGCGCTGTGCGCGACGTACGCAGAATCCAAGCGGCAATTGCGCGGAGAAAGTTGCGCCGCTGAGCCGCGAGCCGTGCAGCGCAGTGCGGCACCCGCCGCGTCGGCAGGCGTTGTGCGCGCGCGGCAAAGCCGCGACGCGCGCGCACCGCCTAACAGCGACTCGCAGCAGCAGTCCGACTCGTCGAGCTCCGACGCAGAGCTGGGTGAGCTCACGTACGCAACGCGCTATTGAGCGCTCGCCACTCGCTTCATGTTAGCGCCATTTTAATAATCTGCACCTACCTCGCAAAAATGCAGAACAAACTGCTGCAGAGCGCGAAAGAGCGCGCGCTTGAAGACAACTCGCAGTACTTCTGCAAAGTGAGTTGGCGTGCATGCCATGCAGATCATTGACTCCAAAGAAATCTACCCGCAAGGGCTCGACGCCGCGCCGGACTGGGAGTTGCTGCTCTCGCGCCTCAGCGTGGAGGGTCGCATTGAGCGGAACATCATGGTGCTGCTCATCAACCAGTTCACCGAGGCGATTGCTGCGGAACCGAACGTCTTGGAGCTCGAAGAGCCGCTTATCATTGTGGGGGACATCCACGGTCAATTCTACGATTTCGTGAAAATTCTCGAACTCGGCGGAGCGCCGGACCCGAAATGCAAGTACTTGTTTCTTGGCGACTACGTGGACCGCGGGCAGTTCGGCATCGAGGTTTTGGCGGTGCTGATGGCGCTCAAAATCAAGTATCCGGACTGCGTGTGGCTGCTGCGCGGCAACCACGAGTCGCGGCAAATGACCACGTTTTTCAACTTCCGCGACGAATGCGTTAAGAAGTACGACGCCGAAGTGTACAACCTGTTTATGGAAGCGTTCGACTGTTTGCCGCTCTGTGCGCGCGTCAACCGCCGGCTCTTCACGGTGCACGGAGGGCTGAGCCCGGGACTTACGCACATCGACCAGATCAAAGACATCGTGCGCACGAAAGAGCCGCCGCGCACGGGCGTGTTCTGCGACTTGCTTTGGTCCGACCCAATTGACCCGCAGAAACACCAGTCGCTCAGCGGCAAAGAAACTTTTCTGCCGAATGACGTGCGCGGCTGCAGCTACGTGTACGGCTTTCAGGCCGCGAAGCAGTTTCTGGAAGAGAACAGTCTGCTTTCGATTATTCGCGCGCACGAAGCGCAGTTGGAAGGCTACAAGATGTACAAAGAGCACCCCACGACCAACTTCCCGACCGTAATCACCATTTTCAGCGCGCCGAACTACTGCGACATTTACGACAACAAAGCCGCGATTTTGCGCTTCCAGGACAATACCGTAAACATCCAGCAGTTTCTGCACACACCACATCCGTACGTTCTTCCCAACTGCATGGACATGTTTGAGTGGAGCATTCCGTTTCTCATCGTCAAACTCTCGGACATCTTTCACACTTTGGCTTCCGGCTCGGGAAACATCGGCTCGCTGTACCAGGAGCTGTGCAACGACGCGACAGAGCAGATTCTCAGCTTGAACGCCGGCTACTTCGAGGCCGAGCTGAGCCCCGCGTTCAGCTCGCTGAACAGCGTCGCGGTGCGCAGCGCGCAGTCAAAGCTTCGCTTTTACGCTCTGCTTCTCAAGAGCTACCGCAGCGTCGCGTTTGCGACTTTTTCCAACTACAGCTAGCCACGCCGAGCGCTAGCGCACTCGCGCGACCGCCTGCGGCTCTGGCGCAGCGCACTGGCCGCTTGCGAACACGCGGATCCGCGAAACGCCAAGCCGCTCCGACGGCCCGTCGAAGTAAAAGCGCATGCTACGGAACAAACGCGAACACTTACAACTCAGACTCGAACGCCGCGTCGAGCGAAACGTCTGCAACAAAGTCCGCGGAAAAGGCGAGCGCCTTTCGCAGCGTCGGCAAACATTCCCGTCTGTTGCACAGACGCAGCGTGATTTGCGTAGGCAATTCGAAAGGCGGTTGCTCTGGCTGCGGCGCGACCTGCAGCGTCAGCGACTGCACGACACCTGGAGCGCTCCAGTTGATGCGAAAGAATGACCCTTTTCTATTAAACATGTACACGTCAAAGTGGTTGAGCGGCGCGCTGCGGTCGATCAACGCTCCGACGCGCGGCTTGTAGCCCGCCTGCGGAGCTGGCCTGCTCACTAGCGCGGTCAAGCCACGCAGCGCGCTCCACACTTTGCGGTACCACGGTTCGAACTGCAGGTGCAGCACGCTCGCGCCACTTTGCAGGTCGCCCAGCGAAAGTAGGTTTTTTCGAAACGCAGCGTCTCGCGCGGCAACAGCGTACGCAGCGCCGCTTAACGGATCTTCCGCTTCCATCGCTCCGCGCGCACCCACACCCCTCGGTTCGCTACTTTCTCCCGCGAAAGCCGCAGCGGCTGCCGCCGTAGCTGCGCCACTTTGCGCCCGAACGCGCGCAACGCTGTAATCCGTCTCAACGCCGCCGACGCTTCGATCACCCGCAACAGCATCTGCAGCGCTCGCTTTTTTTGCCTCTTCAGCGCTGCGTTCTCCTTCCGTGCCAACAACTCCGGGACGGACAGAACTCCGCGGCTCGCTGCGCGAATCAGCCGGCAGGCGTACCTTTGCCGACGGCAGCCTTTGCGGGTGGAAGTGCAGCGCCGCGTAAAGCGCCCTGCATTTCGAAGCCGCACTGTACGCACGCGCGGAGCTGTGAGCGCGAAGCTCGCTGCGCACGCTCGCGCCGGACCCGCCGTCCTCAACCGCAGCGCCGCGTTCGGTTAACATCGAGCCGTACACGCGCTGCAGTTGATCACCGCTCAAGCGCGGAGCAACGCCCTCCAGTGTTTGGTTGCGCGCGGCCGCCGCGGCCGCGAGGTCTAACGCAGAACTTGGCGGCTGCGATATTATCCGGCTGTGCGCACTTCGGCGCGACTTCGCCGCTGTTTCAGCCGCGATTGAACTGCCCGGTTCGCACGCTGCCGCGTCCGCGCAGCCGGGCACGGTCTGCTCGATTTCGGCCGAGCTCAAAGCGAGCAGCGTGCTGCCCGGCACGGGCCGCCAACGTCTGGAGTTCGCGTCGCCGCTGCTCGCTGCGGATAGCGCACTCGTCACCGAGCTCGTCGCGAGCGCTGGTGTTGCGACTTCGGGTTTGGCGAATTGCTGGAGTGGATCAAGCGCGTGCACTCTCGCGAACTGCTGCGGCTGCGCCCACTGCACGGAGTAGTCGACGTGAAAGCGGCAGAACGGGTGCGAGAGGTTTTTCTCTTCGCAAAACTCGGCAAACAGGTCTCCGCGCTCTGCAGTCAAAACAGCTATGCCATCCAACCCGCTTGCAAACTGCTCAGCTGCGCGGAAGTTTTCTAGCCAGCCGCCGAAGCGCTTCAGTGAAACGGCAGCGCTGCTGAGCCAAACCGAGACGAGAAACGACAGCACGACTGCCGACAAAACCGTTGCCAACTGCAGCTGCTTCTGAACTGCACACAGCGAGGTCGAAGCAAACATCAGCGCCACCTTTAATCAAATCTGCGCGCACACAGTCGAAAATTACGGCGCCGCCGCGGGCAGCGCGATGAGGTCCGCCACGTTCAGCTCGTTGATGTCGCAAAACACGCCAAGCAGCTGCGAAAGCGAAGGCTGCGTGCGCTGAAAGTCCGAGTTCACCAGTTCCTTTATGTAGAGCCCACTGTCGCCGAGCACGAAGAACTGGAACTGCGTGTCCGAGATGCGCCGCAACTCTTGAAAGTACACGTTGCGCAGCCGCACGAGGTCGCTGCGGCTGTTGAGCACGCGAACGGGCGTGCGCTGCTTCACGAGCAACGCGGACTGCAAGTTGCCGAAGTCCGGCCGGCAGAGCGCTACGTGCGAAGCGAACCGCGAATTGAACTGCGCCACGGTTTCTTCAGGCACTGACGCACATGCAGTGACGACCGCCGCGTAGAACTTGAGCGTGCGCGCTGTCTTCTCGTTCTGCTCGCGCTGCAGCGCGCGAATCGCAGCGAAACCGACTGCGGCGAGCCGCAGCGCGACGACGCGCAGCGCGCCGCGCGCAGCAGCGTTAATGGCCTCGCCTAGCGCGGCGACGGCCTGCTCGGGCCAGTCGTAGCTGGTGGGGTCGTGCAGCACCAAAATGAACGAGCGGCCGGCGCCGAACGTGCACACGTCGTAGTCTTCCCGCCCAGCGCTGATGAAGCAAGCCTTGCTGCACAACGGCGCGACTGCGTCGCACAGCAACTTCTCAATGCTCGGGATAGAGGCGTCTGTCCACTTGCTGTTCGCGAGTCGGCGCGAGAATTTCTGGTAACGCGCGCAAAGAGCAATCGGTGCCCGCTGCAGTTCGAGCCGCGGCGGTTCGTGCAAGCTGAGCATCACGCGCACGAAAAGTTTCGCGTTTACGTCGGTATTAGGGACGCGCGTGGCGAGCGCCGCGCGGTCCGCGGCGCTAAGTGCGACGAAGCAGACACTGCGCTGAAATGAGAGCTTTACCAAAAAGCGAACTGCGTCAGCGACGCCCGCTTTCGCGGCAGCCGGACCCTTCAACGCTCGCTCCAGCTCGGCGTCTTGCACGATCAGTTGTACCGCTGCGCTCGCGGAGTCGAAGCTCTCGCGCAACGCGTTCCGCTCGAAAAACTCGCGGCACACGCAGCCCAAGCACGGCTGCTCCGATGTGCAGTGAAACCAGCCGTAACAGTCTGCGCAGAACGCGCCCGCGTCGCGCGCCGGCTGCACTGCTGCTTTCGCAAAGCAAAGCTCTGCCGAGATCGTTGCGCTCATCGAAATCACCAGCTCAAATTCTCTCGCATAATTTATTTTGATAAAGCTCCGCACCGACGCACAAGCGCCCTGGCGCGCACAGCGGGCGCTGTCCGCTCTTCAACTTAGTTAGAGCTCAGGGCGCGACTGTTCCGCGGCCGTTTCACGCAGCTCGTTTTCGCTGACCGATGCTGCATCAGAGCTGTATCGCTGATTCGAACTTGCTTCTGGAGAAGCGCCGATTTTCTCTGTCAAAGCAGTCTCGAACGCAGTCGGGACATCCTCCGCAGGGGAGCTCGTTAGTTGCTTTATAAACAACCCATCTGACGCAGTTTTCGCAGGCGCCTCCGAAGAGTCCGTCTCCGAAGAGTCCGCCTTCGAAGAGTCCGCCTCCGAAGAGTCCGCCTCCGAAGAGTCCGTCATCGGATAGTTCACCACCCGAGAGCTCTCTACCGCAGGTTCCTGTACCGCAGAGCGCCGCTGCCGGATTACATCCCAGACATCGTTCTGCATGGGGTCCATGCGCTTCTGACGTCTAAGTTGACGCATAATACGGACCTTCTTCTGAATTGGTTCGGGCCACGCGACCAGATCTTTGTTCAATTCGGCCTTCAACGGAATTTCTTGCTCCTTAGCTTTGAGACCCTCCAACTTCGCGCCGTTCGACTCTAAGCGGCCTACTTCCTGGTCCAGCTCAGACTCCTTTGCGGCGAGCCGGGCGTCCGCGCTCTTCTTCTTCTCAGCAAAATCCTTTGCAAGCTCTTCGTTTTCTAGCAACAAAAGATTCCGCATCGTCGACTTCTCCGCGTCCATGTCAGCGATGTGTTTGTCTATTGCTTTCTGCCTCCGCTTGTCCTCGTCCACCACCGGATCAGATTGCGAAGCGCTCGCGAATTGAGAAACATATCTAATCTCAGTGGGCAATATGTTTATGTCATTATGTGTGTTAGTCGCTGCAGGTACTGGCATCTGCGAACTCAATTTCGTCGCTGCATGAGTTAGCTTCCAACTTACGAAAATTCACATACGAACCCCCACGGGACTGCGCCTGCTGCCACTGTTGAACCGGTACTAGCACATATTCCGTGTTCTGAAGCTTTATCGTTGGCTGCACGCTATAGTTCGCAGGACGAGCGAAATTCGCAGCTCCTCCATACGAAGGAATCGCTGGCTGCACGCTATAGTTCAAAGGACCAGCGAAATTCGCAACTCCTCCATACGAAGGAAACGGTGACTGCAGGGGATAGTTCGAAGGACCAGCGAAATTCGCAACTCTTCGATCAAGAGAAGGTAGCGCACCGTACAGCTGCTGATTACAGATCAACTTTTCAGCAGGATCATTAACTCTATCGCAAGTAGTAGATACTGTAGAAGACTGCGGCCTGCTATAGTTCAAAAGACCGGATGCATCCATTGTCTTCTTCTCTACTCCCGTTTGATGCGATTCCTTGCTTGCTTTCCTTGGACGCCCAACGCGGCGAGGTTTTTCCCCAATAATTACTTTCCGGTGGATTCTAAGTCTACGCTTGGGTTTTATCTTGCTCAACAACCCGCCCGTCGAGTTCCCATTCACAGCGTTGCTACTTTCAGGTACTATTAACTCCTCTTGTTGATAGTCGACTTCCGTAGCCCCTTTCAGTGCTGCCTTATCATCCGCAGCGCTGCTGATCAGTGCGAGCGCGCAAAAAGTCCAAATGTACTTCATGATTGCAGAAATTACACCGAATTCT